AAATCTAGCTATTTTTTTTATATAATAAAAATAAACTTAAACTCTATTCATTTCTCCCTTTAACCCCCTTTTATCTTTAATAATTTATTTTATCATATAAATGGAATTTCATCAAAACTCATTTTTTTAAAAAAAAATCCCCGAGCACAAATTCGTGGTTCAGACCCATATATTTTAAGTAATTTCTTATTGAACTTATTATAGATATAAATATATGGTTATTAGTTATCAATCGATAATTAAGACATATTGAATAGGCAACAAGCCAAGCGATACCTTTCGATGGAGAAGCTATTATTGGGGGGGGGGGGGGTCAGGACTAATTTTATGTATCAAATACGCCTAATTCTACTTTAATATGGTGTATAAATATATTTTTATTTATTAAAAATTTTTTTTAATTTAATCTTAATTTTCTTTCTCCTGTTTTTATAAGTCAAACCCTTATTCGAAATATATATTTTTCTATTAAATTTGTTTTTATTTCTAAAATAAAATAATATACTTTTTTGTCAATTTTTGCCGTCTAGTTTTTATTTTCTTTATTTGTTATATAATAAACTAATTAATATAAATTTTCAAAAAGGATAAAAATCATAAATATTTTCGCATGAATATATATTTAAAAAAAACAACAATTATTTAATGATACATGACATTTAGTTGAACATTTAAGATTGTTCTTGTAACATTCGCATCTTTTGTTCATGCAACCCATTTTGCAATTACATAACGACGTTTTCCCATAGTTTGTAACACTCCGGGAGGCTCCTAAATATTGTTAGCAGTTTAAATAAATAATTAATATATTTTATATATAGATGAATTTGAGGAGTATGTTACTATAATAAAAAAAGCTTAAATTACCTATGATTGATATATCTTTGTTGAGAACTTCAAAATCATTTAATTTTATCGTTTTATACAGACTAGAGGCAATAAACGGTGTTGAAATTCTTCCAGCACACGTACCTACCCATATTTTATTTTATTTCTTTTTAATATTTTCCCTACTAAATTTTTAGGACAGATATTAGTTCTATCTGTCCTATGGATAGGTAATAATACGTGATCACCTAAGATTAGGTTATTTTCTCCAATTATTTGAAAGTAAATTATGTTTTGACGCCCTCGATCATTTAAATATGAAATAAAAGAAGGGGCCCTTTTTAAAATAGTAGAAATACTATTCCCAATATTATTGATAGCACAACTATTTTTCCATATAATTTTGTTGCCAACATTTTTTGAATAAGGACTACTAGTAATATTATGGACAATTTGAAAACACGAATCTTTGTTTGAAACCTTTGCTATTTTAGTAGCAAATGTATTCAGCGTTCACATAATTGCTCATCGGCAAACAATAAAAAAAGTGACGGCTTAAAATTTTTTATTTAATATCTCCTCTTTCCCTAATCGTTAAATAAAAATATAATATACATTTTCCATTACAGAGTAACCTTTATGATAATTTATTCATAGAGAATGTATTTTACAGAGAAACTTTTACAGAGAAATCAATTATAGAGAACGTCGTTAGATAATTTTTTTATAGGGAATGATTTTACAGAGAATGTTTACAGAGATGGATTTTATAGAGAATTTTTTATAAAAAATTTTATTTAAAGAATATGATTAATAAAAAATTGTTGATCTATATAATGTGTGGTCAATACATGGCCATATTCATCACCTTTATATATCTATTAAATAAAACTTAAGCTCTAATTTTTTGTGTGAATAATGCTAAATGCTTATGGATAATATTTATATAAAATATCAGTAATCTAAATTAGTAATTTTTTCACCAAACATAAAAATGTGTAAAGTGATTTTTCTAGAAAGAGGTACTAAAAATAGTTTATTTAAAATATTTTTTTATTGGATTGCTCTGAAAAAATGAACTTAGATAAGGTACATATCATAAATTTAAATATACTTTTTTATAAAAAAAATACATATTCATAGTTAGCTAAAAAATTATATATTTTATGTCTTTTTTTTTATTTATTATTTTCATGAAATTGTATAAATATAAATTTTGGCCTTAACAAGTTAATACTAAAGAAAAATTTTGAAAAATTTGATTGATTTATAATTAAATAACTTTTATTTTATATATTTCGAGATATTTTATTTTCTTTTATTTTTTACATTTTCAAATTTATTTTCATTTTTCTAAAAATAAAATAATTATATATAATTTTAGTTTAAAATTTTTTTTAATGCCTAATATTTTTTTACCTAAAACTGATAATGATTATAATATTTTTAAAACGATATTAAAAACTCCAAAATATAAATCTATTCTAAATATACCGGCAAAATTAAAATTAAAAGTTTTTTCTTATTTTTATTTAGAAAATGAGTCTTTATTTTGTAAAAAAAAACCCCCATTATTATCATATCCAATATTCAATCCATATTAAAAGTCCACCATAATGACAATAATCATCCCGGTGTCAACACAACAATTAAAAATATAGAATCCGTATATGCTTCAATTTTTCAAAAATTCGTTATAAAATATATCCAAAATTGTCCAATCTGCTCTATAAAAAAAATCTTCCAAAGGCGCCAGTTGAAAAACCTTTAGTAAGCTATTCCGTCTGGGGGCGGGTGGAAATAGATTTAATTGATATGTCATCTACACTAGACTATAAAATTGTCCATAATATTACTAGTAGTCCTTATTCAAAAAATGTTGGCAACAAAATTATATGGAAAAATAGTTGTGCTATCAATAATATTGGGAATAGTATTTCTAATATTTTAAAAAGGGCCCCTTCTTTTATTTCATATTTAAATGATCGAGGGCGTCAAATCATAATTTACTCTCAAATAATTGGAGAAAATAACCTAATCTTAGGTGATCACGTATTATTACCTATCCATAGGACAGATAGAACTAATATCTGTCCTAAAAATTTAGTAGGGAAAATATTAAAAAGAAAAAAATAAAATAAAATATGGGTAGGTACGTGTGCTGGAAGAATTTCAACACCGTTTATTGCCTCTAGTCTGTATAAAACGATAAAATTAAATGATTTTGAAGTTCTCAACAAAGATATATCAATCATAGGTAATTTAAGCTTTTTTTATTATAGTAACATACTCCTCAAATTCATCTATATATAAAATATATTAATTATTTATTTAAACTGCTAACAATATTTAGGAGCCTCCCGGAGTGTTACAAACTATGGGAAAACGTCGTTATGTAATTGCAAAATGGGTTGCATGAACAAAAGATGCGAATGTTACAAGAACAATCTTAAATGTTCAACTAAATGTCATGTATCATTAAATAATTGTTGTTTTTTTTTAATATATATTCATGCGAAAATATTTATGATTTTTATCCTTTTTGAAAATTTATATTAATTAGTTTATTATATAACAAATAAAGAAAATAAAAACTAGACGGCAAAAATTGACAAAAAAGTATATTATTTTATTTTAGAAATAAAAACAAATTTAATAGAAAAATATATATTTCGAATAAGGGTTTGACTTATAAAAACAGGAGAAAGAAAATTAAGATTAAATTAAAAATTTTTTTTAATAAATAAAAATATATTTATACACCATATTAAAGTAGAATTAGGCGTATTTGATACATAAAATTAGTCCTGACCCCCCCCCCCCCCAATAATAGCTTCTCCATCGAAAGGTATCGCTTGGCTTGTTGCCTATTCAATATGTCTTAATTATCGATTGATAACTAATAACCATATATTTATATCTATAATAAGTTCAATAAGAAATTACTTAAAATATATGGGTCTGAATCACGAATTTGTGCTCGGGGATTTTTTTTAAAAAAAAATGAGTTTTGATGAAATTCCATTTATATGATAAAATAAATTATTAAAGATAAAAGGGGGTTAAAGGGAGAAATGAATAGAGTTTAAGTTTATTTTTTATTATATAAAAAAAATAGCTAGATTTAAAAAAAAATTGGTGTTGTTTTTTTTCGTTTTTTCAATTTTTTTTTGTTGTTTTTGTGAATATTTTTTTCAAAAATTTTAGGAAAGTAATAAGAAAGAAAGAAAAATTAAAATATTGGTTATGCTTAAGTCGGGTATATTATTTTTTTTATGTTATTTTAAATTAATATAGTATTATTTGGTGATAATTTTTTAAAATAATGTAACATATTTTTATTATATCGAAATATAGTATTAAGTCTTAAAATCTAAGCAATTTTAGGAAAATTAGCATAAAATCTTAAATTTTGTATTTATTAGGGGTAAAATAGACCCCATTTTTAAAGTTTAAGTGATTTTTTTAACCTTTGTTGGGAAGGGTTAATTCGAAATATATTATTGAAATTTATACAAAATAAAAATATCGAAATATAGTAATAAACGAGTCAATTTTATTCATTAAATTGAAATATTGTATTAAAATATATACAGATGATTATTAAATTCATAAGAAATTCTCCAAATATTAAAATAAAAAATTTTAGGAAAGTAATGAAAGAAAGAAAAGAAAGATCACTTAAAGTAATAAGAAAGAAAGAAAAGAAAGATTTTATTAAATTCTTAAATTCTCCAAATATTAAAATTTTTATATAAAGCTAAAATATTTAATAAAAAATATAATTTAATAATTTAAAAAAAATATATTTTTTTTAATTTAAAAAAAAGATTCCAAAAAACGTGGGGATTCAAGATCTCGAATCCCCAAGTTGGGATTCCGAATCCCACGAGATTCCATATCCCAATACGACATATATAATGCTAATTAAAAAAAAATTCAATTATTTTTGGCCCAAGTCTGTCCCCAAATTTTTAAATTAAAAAGTATTAATTTAACGCAAAATTAATCATTAAATTGCTTTGAATTTCTTTATTGCAGATGATAAAAATATTTAATAAAAAATTTTTAAGCCCAACTTCTGGCTTTCCGGCCACCTTCAGATAGCTCTAACATGCCATTCTTATTTTTTTTAATTGTTTATTATTTATAAAATATAATTTTTTTATCAGAGACGTCCCCAGAATCCTTTATTATGGCTTGAAAACAAGATGAAAACATCGGACCTTATCATAGTGATCTTTTCAGATTTAGAACAAAGTTCCAGAACACCATTTTTAATCGAACCTAATCATAAAAATAAAAATCGCAAGCCCTGGCCCGATTTGTTACAGCCTTGTTTAAGGATACTCTCTTCAGAATTGGTCCACTCAAATCATATTATTAATAATTATAGTAACTCTTCCCCAATAAAAAAATACTTATTCTTGAGTATCGATTACAAGTCATATACCAAAAGTGGAACACTGTGGAGGAAGGATATCTTTGCCCGTTTTAGGGAGTTTTTAACACCAATCTGGAATAGTGGTAACAGCACCAAAAACATGGAATTGAGCCAACTGCATGATAACCTCGGAATTTTGAGAGCATTGCCCCCTTTCAAGCCTAACATTATTAGGATAACGAAAACACCAACTCACTTTAATTTATCCAAAAAAGAATTTGCTCAAAAATTTAAAATAAATGCTTTTCCTAATAACATACACCAAATTTGCCAATTATTGAGCACTGTATTAACACCAAAAAATTTTTCAAATGATAATGAGTCAGAAAATAATACTGATTGTATTGAAAATGGTACAACTGAATCTTACAACCTTCAAAGCCATACTTCATTGATTCAATTGCTAGCAAAATTTGAGGACTTATTATTAAACATTGCAAATAAAGATGGTGAATATTTAGAAGAAAATATAAACAACTCATTTGACCTAAAATGTTACAAACTAACAGATGCCATAAATGATGAAATTGTGGATGGTGATAGTGTGAAAGAAATCATTAGTGATTTACATATCAAAAAAACTGTTTTGAGCTATGAACAAGAAAATATTCCTTCCTTTCAAACTATTCAAGGTTTATCAAACACATATAATATTACTCAACAAAATGAGCCAAGTAATTTTCAATCACCAAATCATTTGGAAATTGATTTATATAATGATATACCAAGTTATCAAACTATCAAAAGAGATGTTTACACTTAAATTTTTTTATTAGCAAATAATTATAATTCATAAAATAAATAAATATATTATTTCGATAATTTATATGATCAAAATTTTACATAACTTATTTAATTTACAAACATACTTTTACTTGTATTATATGGTGTTTGTGAATGATGAATTGCATCTTTATATTCATTCAATTTAAAAGTTTTATAAGATGGTAAGGATAAATAATTATTATTAAAATAACTACATAATTCTGTGATTTCATGAGTTATTGTGGATTTATCGTGATTTAGCATAAATCCTAATGCTTTAAGATTATTAAATATAAAATATTTTGTAGGAATAATAACTGGTTTTTTTGACATTCCTCCATAAGTTATTAATGTTGCATCTTTTTGTAAATGTGAAATCATATCTAAACAATTTTGTCCCCCTACACAATTTAAGGCTAACTTTGGTAATCCTACTTTATTTATAACATTTTTTACAGTATCACTCTTTAAACTATCATCAGTAAATACACAATTAGCTCCTAACATTTGTAAATTTCCAATTAATTGATCAATGTTTTCTCTATTTCTTACTATGTTTATTGTATTAATACCAAAAATATGAGCAAGTTGTATAACAAACTGCCCAACACCACTGTTAGCACCATTTTGTATAATTACATCTCCTGGTGTTAAATGTATAAACTTTTTTAATAGTGAATATGCAGTACAAGGATTTACTAACAACATTGCTGCTGCCATTGTATGAATAGCAGGGATTTTATATAAATGTTCTCTTTTAAAAAATCCAAATTCTCTCCAAGTTCCCATATAATGATCACCTATAAAAATAACTTTATCACCTTTCTTCAAATCACAGTCATTGTAAGTATTTATAACTTGAGCCACACCCTCTGTCCCTGCGATTGTTGGGAAGCCTTTTGATTTATATCCATATGTTCCATTAATTTTATTTATGTCAGCTGGGTTGATAGGAGATGCAAGTATCTTTACCAAAATATTTTTTTCTATGATTTCTTTATTAATATCATCTGATGAATAATCATGACTTTTCAATTCTAGAATTGTTAAAGGATCTCCATATTTATCATATTCTAGCCATTTGCAGCTAAATCCATTATTATAAGATCTCAAAAAATAACTGAGTTTACATTTTTTAAATTTGAAAATCATATCCACATGAAAAATATAATTTATAAATTATAATAATAAAAGATAAGGCAATCTAAATATCTCATTAGGTAACCTAGTCAAGAATTTTTTTTTTCCAAATCAATCTCATAAATCTCAAGACGTTTATTGGTCTTGGATACAAAATTCAATGATTTTTTTAAAAAGAGAATATCAATTTATTTAAATATAAACTTAATCTGTTAAACAAATTTTAAAATGAGTTCTTACTAAAATTATAATACAATTATTAGTTAAAAAATTTCATGGGAACTTGGGGGAGTCCACTGTTTTTTGTAGATTTTTAATTTCTTAAGCTTTATTAAAATAGTGTGTAATGTAAGTTAATTAAAAAATATTCAAAGCATGTTTTATTCTTTGATATATATTTAATTAAATATCGTTTTGTAGAAAAAATGATTTTTTCATTTACATAAATAAGCAGTATTACATTTTAAAAATAACCTGAAAAATATTTTTTAAAAAAATAAAGAACTGCAAAAAATGGGTTGAGTTCTAAGTATTATAAAACTCATAATTTCTGTAATATTTTTCAATGTTATTTCATATTATAGAGAATGATCAAGCACAAATTTACCTGTTTTCGTAAAAATCATTTTAAGCTAATAAAAAATTTCGCCCTGAAAGCCCGATTCCCGACTATTTTAAAAAACGATCCGATTATGATTATAACCAAAATAACATTTTGCAAGCCTAAAGATTTTGCCGTATAAGGTAGAGATGCTTGGATATTTGCCAAATCTCATACATAATATTATTTTAACTAAAATCTTAGTTGGCCCGTTTTAAAAATCTACCTAAATCGGGCTTTTTAACAACACTGTTACACACTCCTCTTCCAAAAAAATGTAATACATCTTTACAGAAGTTTACCTTCTAAAATAACGGATATAATTCAAAATTTTTAGAAAAAAAGCAATTTTATAAAAATAACTGAAAACTCAATTTTTTTTATAAAAATCTAATAAAAGGCCTACAATAAGCAAACCTAAAAACCTCCAAAGGAATTTATAGCGATATACCCCCCCCCCCCTTCTACTTAGCAAAATCCTGGATACGCTTATGAAGCTAATAATAGTAATCCCTGTTAATTATGTTTTTCTTGCTCAGAGGTTTATGAAGAACAATTCTGAGTGAAAGGAATTCATAAAAATTTTTAGGTATTGTAAAGGTTCAATACAAATAACTATCAGCCTAAGGAATCCCTTTTCATAAGGTAAAGACCAGCTATCGCCATTCTTTCTCAGTTTTATCTTTTCCATATAATAATCATCGATGTCCCATTAAAATTCCTTTCCTTCCTAGTTTTTATTTGTTATTTAAATCCCTTATTTTTTTCCTAAATTCTATTTTTATATTTTTCAACTTTATTAATTTTATCTTAGAAAAAATTAATTTTATGCCATTACCTTTTGATAATATCTTACATCTGCTACTATTCAAATAAAAAATCCGATGACCAGTTAAAAAAAAAATTAAAATTCAATATTTTTGAATTTTGATAATACTTTTTCATAAGTCTGATTTTGTGTTTGAGAATAATTACTTTTAATTAGTTTTTTTTCTATTACTATAAAAAAAAATAATTAAAATTTTCCATGTCGAAAATATTTATAAATTCATGCAGTCAACGAATAATCATATCATATGTATAATGACAAAAAAAATATTTAATTAATTTATTAAAAATTCGGATTTCTAAAAAATATTTTATTTGTAAATTTTTTTCGAGTGTGTAGGAAATTGTTGCTCAGGACGCCCATCTTCCAAAAATATTTGAAATATTTAAATAATATTTTTTTAAATTTAAATGATATATTTATAAATTAAATATAAATATTTTAAATGATTGATTATTTGAATTATATTTATTTCATAGTCATTTCATTTTTGAAATTTGTATGAGGTCTACAATTTTATATTATACGTCAAAAAATATTGATGAATCCAAATATGGTGTCTTTAGTTTTTAGTATAAAGTTATCTATGATATGATTCCATTTTTAAATCTTAGGTTCAAATATATAACTATCATATATAATATATAAAAAGTAAAAAAATGATTTGTGTTCTATCCGAGGAAGAGGGATTCCCTTGTTGCGATTTTATTTTGTGAGCTAAAAAGAGTTTTTTTCTTTTCAAAGTAGAATATCGCTCTAAAAAGAATAGTTCTAACTCTGAATTTACAGTTTGCGCGAATTTCAAAAATATTTTGTATACTTCGCCGCTAATTTACGCTAACTATGAATTCAGACTGAGGTTGTCATTAGAGAACCATATCGAGCCCAAATATCATTAGGCCCACCGAAAAAGCCCGGCCCAAAATTTTATAAATATTTGTTGTCATAGCCCGAACTAAAATTATTTTCCAAATTTTGGCTCACATAAGACCAAAGTAAATTCGTACCCCATGGGGTGGATCGGGCCGGGTCTTGCAGATCATTAATTATATTGTCATTATTATTATTATAGTCTTTAACCTTAATTTCATAAAAATAAAAGAGAAAATGACATAAAATTTTTATTTTTATAAGTCGAGAGAAGGAAAAAAAAATAATCAATTAAATTAAGAAATAAAAAATTAGGGGAATGAAAATATATTTTACTCTCTCTAAATGAACATAGTAGAATGAAGAAAATTAAAGAAATATGAGGGGGAAAAAATGGAAGAAGAATAAAGAAAGATAAATTTCAAAAAACTATTTTTTTTGGTTTTTTTTTAAAAAAAATATTAGAATAAGTACAAGATTTTTTTTTTAAACCAAATTTTTCAGTATATAAAAACCGTTCCCTAATATGAGCGAGAAGCATTTCCCTTTATTTAGATTGAAGATTTTAATTTTTCAAAAAAAATTTTCTCCTATTGAATCTCTCCATTTTGATTGAAACTTTTTCTTTTTTGATTTAAACTTATTTCTCCGAAATGGGAAACCATGTATTTCGGTAACATTTAAATTTATTTTAGTGTTTTATTTATTTTTTGTATGAAAAACTGACATGAAATATTTGTTGTTGAAGAAAAAAAGGAGTGACACCCCATTGTATTTTAATATGTTTTTTTCTCTACGAAATGAATACTTTTATTTGGCATATCTTATAACGTTATAATTTTTTTTCTTGTAATAATGATTGTCATTTTAATCAATTATCACACCATATAAAATAATTTTTTTGTAAATAAATTCCTCATTGATATTGATATTCATACTCCGATAAAGCCTTTTCGTATTCGTAAGACGCTTCATAATTGCCAAAACTCCCTTTATCATATTCCTGCATTTTACCACTCGACTTTTTACCGAACAGTAAATCGTCGATATCATCAGGAATATCTCCTGGCATCAAGGGATAATACTTTTCCTCGTCTTGAGCATATAGTTCAATTACCATTGTTTCTATTTCAGGATCCGTAACTGGAAGATATTTATGGGCAAGGTCGTAATAGAAGTTATAATTAAAGTCATAATAATCTTGGTAAAAGTAGGTCATATAAATCTTCGCCAACGCGTTCATGTTTATTTTCCCGGTTGTGATCGACATGGGTAACCTTCTGGCCTTTTCCAAACACGATAACATGTCTCCTTGTGGAGGAATGAAGGGAGGCGGTAACCCACTTTTATACTTCCATGGGTAATCTGTTTTTGCATCTAAAATAACGTTTATTGTAATTTTTATGTGACCGAATAAAAAATATATTATATTTATTAAATGTATTTTTATCAAAACTGTATTTCAAATATTTTAAGGCGAAAATGAGTAACAGGGCCAAAAGGACCAGGAGAAAAAGGATTGACGCGATGACGATTAAAATATTGTTCGAACCCATTTTCGGTACAAGTGCTACCGCCGATTGTAAACATTCCCCTGTTTGAAAAGAATTAAAAAAATATAACATTTTTAAATTAAATCTTTTGTTTATACCTTTGACTGGTAAAAGTTGGAATGTTTCAGTTTTGATCGAAGTTACATCCCCGTTAGCTAAAACATGATTGGTATAATTTTTCGTGTGCGTAGTTGTCAACTCAACCACGTTGATACCCAACGAATTATTCAAATATAATATCATCGAAATGCGATAATGCGAATCGCTAAAAAAATATATAATAATTATAAAATAAAATGGTATGAAAATTAATTTTTACTAATATTTTAAACTAGTTGATTACCCGTCAATAATAAAATCTTGAACTATTATATGAATTTTTTTTAAATACATTTTTTATATAAAATAAATGACAAATTTTAGTGATTATTTATTCATTTTAATAAATTTAGCGTAAAAACGTGAAATTGTAATCAAAAATATAGTGTAGATATTGATAAATTGGTATTGTATGTCATTTCCAGAGTTCAAATATTGTTGTTGAGATAAAATTTTTATACTGGCATATTTTGGGGTGGTAGTATGAGATAAATGTATTAGGCTAAACATAATTTAAATTTATTTGTTAAATCTAAATTATAATTAGTATTTAGGATTAGTGAGGGAGATTAATTTTCTGGCATGAGAAGATATTGATAAATAGGTATTTTATACTATTTGCAGAGCTTCCATATTGTGGTTGAGATAAAAATTAATAAATTTTACTTTGATTGAGTATAAATACTTACGCTAAAATTAATATGAGATAAAAGTTTATTTTTCAATTGGCTAAATATAATATAATTTGCCATTTTAACTTTAATAATATTCATTCTTATCATAATTTGAGGTGAGGTTAGTATTCTTTTTAATATAACACAATAAGATCTATATAAATTAATCGAAATAATAAATTAATAACATATATAAGAAAGCTTATATTACAAAATTTAATATAGAAGGTGGCTGAGTGGGAATAACGTTTGCCTTTAAACGTTAAGTCATGGGTTGGAATCCCGTGATGTACAAAAATTTTCTTAAAATTTAACATTAGAGATATATAGTCTCCATCGAATTATTTAACATTAAGAAGATAGGAAAGTTGATAGAAAAAATAAAA